GGTGAAGGGGTTATATCAAAGGACAGGTACCATAGGGGTGAAGGGGTTATATCAAAGGACAGGTACCATAGGGGTGAAGGGGTTATATCAAAGGACAGGTACCATAGGGGTGAAGGGGTTATATCAAAGGACAGGTACCATAGAGGTGAAGGGGTTATATCAAAGGACAGGTACCATAGGGGTGAAGGGGTTATATCAAAGGACAGGTATCATAGGGGTGAAGGGGTTACGGAAGGAACCAAGGCTTTCAATAATTTTCTTTTATATCAATATTAATTTTATCTTTTAACTCACTTGGAAGAAAACAGCACTGCATTTATGAATTCATTTTACAATTCTTTCACAGAGTCAGAAAAGTAATGAAGCGCAGTTGAAGTTGAGCATCAAGGACCAAAAGAAGAATCTGGATATTTTACATAAGGCTTTTGAGGAGAACAAAATCTCCAAGGATCTGTATGCTGTGAGTAACATTTACCTCTCTATCCTGTGTCCTTATTTTGCCTCTATGAATGACAGCAAAGTCTGACATTTCAGGCAGTTTCTGGATCTGGTCAGTCAGAAGTGTTTAGAAGGTGGCTTTAGTAATTTAGAATATTACCTATTGTAATTATTGCAACTATATCTGAAGCAATGTTAAATAAATGTCATGGTTATACGGGAATTAGCTTGTTTACCTGTCTGTAGGCAATACGTGTCCTTACTGCTCGTTATAAATACATGTCATGGTTATACGGTAATTAGCTTGTCTGCTTGTCTGTAGGCAATATGTGTCCTTACTGCTCGTTACATATACATGTCATGGTTATACGGTAATTAGCTTGTCTGCCTGTCTGTAGGCAATATGTGTCCTTACTGCTCGTTATAAATACATGTCATGGTTATACGGTGACAAATGCAGTCATGATATTAGAATAGACCCTGGGGTCTGACTGAACCCCGACGGACCTAGTTTCTTAGTCACAGCTTGGAAACGGTTGAGATCCCCACCCTATAACCATATTATATACAATTGCCGAGTATAAAGAGATGAATGCACATATGCTTCCAGGATGGCCTTGGGGTCTGCCCCACCCTTGGAGACTTAATCCCTGGGTCATAACTTCGAAATGGTTTAGATCCCCACCCCAAAACCATATATACAATTGTTGGGCATAAAGAGACGAATGCAGTCATTATATTCGAATTGACCCCAGGGTCTGCCTCACACTTGCAGACTTAACCCCTGGGTCATAACTTAGAAACGGTTGAGATCCCCATCCCTAAACTATAAATACAAATGATGGACAAAACGAGACGAATGCAGTCATGGTATTAGAATTGATCCTGGGGTCTTGTCACAACCCTAGGGACCTAGTTTCTGAGTCACAGCTTGGAAACAGTTGAGATCCCCACCCCATAACCAAACATAAAATTGCTCGACATGAAAAATCTAATACAGATATGCTACATATTCTCTTGGATCTCATTTGGAGAATATTTTGCCATAATTGCTTATATATCCAGGTGAGTGATACAGGCCCTCTGGGCCTCTTGTTTTGATGTGGAAGTCTATTCAAAACATCGTCCACTCTCTTTGTTAAATCATGTACAAATAGATACAATGAAGCTGATGACAGGTGTACATTGATTTGCCAAGGGTTTCCAAGAGGGGAGGGGTTACATAACAACCCGGTAAATAGGATGATCATCATAACAGTTCTGAACACATGCAGTTACACTGTTAAGGTTTATTGTGCATTGATGACAACTCTGCTCTTAATCTTGTTCCTGTTCTTCATTTCATTAATTATTGTTTACAGATGGCTGTGTCATTGATTAAGAAGGCGATGGTGGTCCCACAGAAGCGGCTACGCTACCTCGTAGAGCAGTACATAGCCTTCCAAACTGTCCATGAGACAAAGAGTAAGTGTTACACTACCTCGTAGAGCAGTACATAGCCTTCCAAACTGTCCATGAGACTAAGAGTAAGTGTTACACTACATCGTAGAGCAGTACATAGCCTTCCAAACTGTCTATGAGACTAAGAGTAGGGGTTACGCTACCTCGTAGAGCAGTACCTAGCCTTTCAAACTGTCCATGAGACTAAGGGTAAGAGTTACGCTACCTCGTAGAGCAGTACATGGCCTTCCAAACTGTCCATGAGTCTAAGAGTAAGTGTTACGCTTCCTCGTAGAGCAGTACCTAGCCTTCCAAACTGTCCATGAGACTAAGAGTTAGTGTTACGCTACCTTGTAGAGCAGTACATAGCCTTCCAAACTGTCCATGAGACTAAGAGTAAGTGTTACGCTAACTCGTAGAGCAGTACCTAGCCTTCCAAACTGGCCATGAGACTAAGAGTTAGTGTTACGCTCCCTTGTAGAGCAGTACATAGCCTTCCAAACTGTACATGAGACTAAGAGTAAGTGTTACGCTAACTCGTAGAGCAGTACCTAGCCTTCCAACCTGTCCATGAGACTAAGAGTAAGTGTTATGCTACCTCGTAGAGCAGTACATAGCCCTCCAAACTGTCCATGAGACTAAGAGTACGTGTTACGCTACCTCGTAGAGCAGTACCTAGCCTCCCAAACTGTCCATGAGACTAAGAGTTAGTGTTACGCTACCTCGTAGAGCAGTACCTAGCCTTTCAAACTGTCCATGAGACTAAGAGTAAGTGTTATGCTACCTCGTAGAGCAGTACATAGCCCTCCAACCTGTCCATGAGACTAAGAGTAAGTGTTACGCTCCCTCGTAGAGCAGTACCTAGCCTTCCAACCTGTCCATGAGACTAAGAGTAAGTGTTACGCTAACTCGTAGAGCAGTACCTAGCCTTCCAAACTGGCCATGAGACTAAGAGTTAGTGTTACGCTACATTGTAGAGCAGTACATAGCCTTCCAAACTGTACATGAGACTAAGAGTAAGTGTTACGCTACCTCGTAGAGCAGTACATAACCTTCCAAACTGTCCATGAGATTAAGAGTAAGTGTTGGAAATTTACCAAGAAACTTACGCCCAGTCAAATATCAGACCTCTGGTAAAATCTATGGCAGCTTTCATTTATCGTGATTCAAATGGTTGGACCAGAGTTGTTCGTTTACGAAATTAGGTCGGACCTAGTAATTTGATGCTGTTTTCAGGCAAGCCTTGACAAAGCCTTGCAAGGCCTGCATAAACATTTGCAGGTCCGTCAGGATTTATACCTGAAAATGTTACATTTAAAAAAAGACAAACCAGTTGAACTGGATACGTGAAAAGGGGCCCAGATTTGTCCAGTGTTAACCTTGCCTTTCAGATGTAATTGCTATATATGGTTCTCTGTACATACTGTTATTTGCTATTATGAAAAATTTGTCCTCATTACAGAGGACGAGAAAAAAAAAGGCCAAATCAAATGTGAAAATTACCTGGTATAATACAATAGTTGGTACAGTTATCTATTGAAAATAAGTACAAGAGAGAGAAAAACAAAACTTTTTCTGTGACCATAATAAACATTGGCAGATCTTTGTTACATCACAGAGGCTATAAGTAAGTTCTACATTTTACATAAAATTCTGTCAGAGCTGATATACATGCCTGTATTGGTACAGCACTGGGATGATATACAGAGTTTGTATTTACTGAGTAGCATTTATATGTACTCGAGCATGAGAGAGAGAAAGAACATATTTTTATGATAAAAAGTGATTTCTCCAAACTTAACAAAAAACATTTATATTGTTTGGATAAGTGCTGTTTGGATACCAGAGGTGTTGGTAAATCAACATTTAACCCTTTCATCACTGTAGACCATAATGGACTCATTTAGATCAATGCATGGTAGAGTCTACTAAAGTTATGTAGGGGTGAAAGGGTTAATTGTTGAGTAAAACCTTGTTATGCCATCATTTGTCCAGAGAAATGTTGGAGTATAAAGGGGTTTGGCAACAAATTTAGGGAAACCTATCAAGGTATTCTTAAGAAAAGGAGAAAAGCAGATTTTAAAATAATTATGTTGGCAGTGTGTGAGGTGGCTTATGAAATAAAAATAAATAAATATATAACATTCAATATAGAGCCCTATCTAGCTAACATAAGCCACTCTAAAGCGCTGCACAGTACATAGATACACAATTAATTAAATACAATAAGCATAACATTAATCAATACAATTTTTGAGGTATTCGTAGGAGCTGCCTTATCAAGCACTAACTATTAGTCCTATGCCATCTGGCTAATATCTCCCTATGTGTGTGCTGGATATGTAATGTGAAATAATGGACATTATATTGAGGATTTGCTGTATTCGTCTCTGAGAAACGTCTTGTTCATGATTTGTGATATGTAAGATACTGTGTTTTCCCAGAGCGTGTGAAGTTGATTCTGAGTGACGAACACTTGGGCCAGGAGATGAGAAAAGACATCATCAGCTACATGAAACGGATTGACCAGAAGTTTCACATGAGTATGTCTATGTGGCATGAACAGATGGCGTCCCTGGAAAAGGAACGAAGAAATCTCTTCCAAACCATCTGGAAAGTGTAAGTTCAATGTGTATCCCGATATATTGTCATAGGAAAGATGTGCTCGATTTTATAATAAGTTGTTGTCGGAATGTTATCAAACTTAATCATATATAATATGGATCACATGGATTTAAGATTTTTGTCAGACCAACCATCAATTAATTCCCAACACTATTAAAAGCCTGTTTTATGCTTATTAGGGCCCCGTATCGGAGAAACAGGTGCCCTATAGTAATCACTCTCTGTCTGTCTGTCTGTCTGTCCGTCCACAAATTTTGTTCCTGGCTATTAACTTTGGTATTAATTGACCGATTTACATGAAACTTGGTCATGGTCAAGATGTTTAGTTAACAAAAATACACACTCAGGTAAAAATTCAAGGTCAAAGGTCAAGCTCATTAGGTTCAAAGGTCAAGGTCTATTTTTGCATTTTTTCACTGGTGAACATTTTGTTATGACACTATGAAGCAATGTTGCTCAGAATTAAACAAGGAGTCAGTTGACTAAAGGTCAAGGTCACTGGGTCAAAGGTCAAGGTCAAATTTTGTATCTTTTCCCTGATGAACATTTTGTTATGACATTATGAAGCAAAGTTGGTCAGAATTCCACAAAGAGTCAACTGACGTATTGTCAAGGTCAGTAGATCAAAGGTCAAGGTCAAATTTAGTATCATTTCACTGATGAACATTTTGTTATGACACTATGAAGCAATGTTGGTCAGAATTAAATAAGGAGTCAACTGAACAAAGGTCAAGGTCATTTGGATCAAAAGTCAAGGTTAAATTTTGTATCTTTCCACTGGTGAATAATTCGTTATGATGCTTTGAAGCAATGTTGGTCAGAATTCCACAAAGAGTCAACTGACTTATTGTCAAGGTCAGTAGATCAAAGGTCAAGGTCAAATTTAGTATCATTTCACTGATGAACATTTTGTTATGACACTGTAAAGCAATGTTGGTCAGAATTAAACAAGGATTCAAAGGTCAAGGTCACTGGGTCAAAGGTCAAGGTCAAATTTTGTATCTTTTCCCTCATGAACATTTTGTTATGTTATTATGAAGCAAAGTTGTTCAGAACTTAACACCTAGTCAATTGACCTAAGGTCAAGGTAACGCGGTCCAAAGGGTCAAGGTCAAGAACAAGTTTTGTATTTTTCACTGATGAACATTTTGTTATGATATTATGAAGCAAAGTTGGTCGGAATCAAAGAATAAGTCAACTGACCAAAAGATCAGGGTCACTGGGTTAAAGGTCAAGGTCATTTGGGTCCAAAGGTCAAAGACAAAGTAGATCTCTGACTTTGACCCTGGCTCTTGATGGAGGAGGTATTTAAAGTCAAATAAAACATATCAAAGCTAACAAATGAGTATTGCACCAGTATTTACATTTCTGTTAGCCTAGCAAATATGGAGGTGGAAGGAAACAAGACTCACGTCATAGTACATGTTAAATGTATATTTTGCTTCCTTGCGATTCTTTTTTAAGTCCAAATATCAGACGTCAAGTTCAGCTATATGGGCAGATTGCTTCTTGATGATTATGGCGGATATATTGCCACAAGACGGGGCCCTTACTGACCTGTCAGTATTCTAGTTGGCATATCTGTTTGAATTTGTAGTAATTTACAAAGTTAAAACACCAACCAGAATGAGATACATAAAAATAGGCTTTAAAAAAATATTGCGGTACAGCAATATTCATCTCTGTATTGTTGTACGATACAATATACCTGTTTTCTGATATATTGTGACAGCCCTATTAATTCCACAGTTCCTCTCAATTAAGAATTTGTTTATTTAAATATGAAAGAAGCATCATTACAACAAACATTTGTAAAAACATAATATACCTAGTAATTTTATGCGAAGGGCAAATTTAATATTGGGCGAAAATGGATTTTACAGTCAGGGCAAAAAATGTTTAATGAAATGAATATTGGAAGGGATCTGTTGTTTACATACCTTCCAGCACACCAAATAACAAAACAGTCAGAACGGGTTCACTAAAAAATATTGACAATAATGGTTAATGATTTATATTGCCGTTCATGGTTAATTACAGTAATTTTGATACAAAATATTTGATACAAAATGCCATTAAGGTGTAAAACGCTCTAAATTTGACGCCAATATAAAGCTCGTGTTCAAATTGGTAACCATGTTGGACTTACAATAAAATGTGGGGAGAAAACATTTATTGGTTCTGCATCAGAATATCAAACTGAAAATGATGTTGTTGCTGCAAAAATTATCAGAGAATTTCTTTCTCCAGTGAGGTAGTTAGTTCTCATGCATAATTATCTTATGTTGTCAGTGTTCAAAATTTCATAACTGGCAAAACTCTTTCTCCTACCCAAGTATGAAGTTGAAAGTTCTACAGTTTAATGTGTGGTTGTTAGCTTTCTTACCCCAGTTTACTATGAGATATGGGGTGTTGAGCTTTCCTACCCCAGTTTACTTTGAGATTTGGGGTGTTGAGCTTTCCTACCACAGTTTACAATGAAATATGGGGTGTTGGGCTTTTCTACCACAGTATACTATGAGATCAGGGTGTTGAGCTTTCCTACCCCAGTTTACTAGGTGATAAGGGTGTTGAGCTTTCCTACCACAGTTTACTATGAAATATGGGGTGTTGAGTTTTCCTGCCCCAGTTTACTATGTGATAAGGGTGTTGAGGTTTCCTACCCCAGTATACTATGAGATATGGGGTGTTGAGCTTTTCTACCCCAGTTTACTATGAGATATGGGGTGTTGAGCTTTCCTACCTCAGTTTACTATGAGATATGGGGTGTTGAGCTTTTCTACCCAAGTTTACAATGAGAAATGGGTTGTTGAAATTGTCATAGCTAACAGATTATCTTTCTCCTGTCTAGGTTTACCAACGTTGTCACGGAGACCGGCCTGTTGTTGGTGCACCCTCTTCTGAAGGGTGATGGTGAGAACTCTATGTACAACCGGCTAGCATGTGCTCTAAACAAAGACCAGCTTAGACATATGCTCACCAAACGAAGAACCGCTTCAGGATTCAGCCGGATGCCGGCATCTGTCAATGGTTACAACGCTATAAATTCACACAAATTGAATAAAACATGGCAGACTCAGGTATGCACTTGACAAAATTTGGGATAGGAATGTTTGGCTGTTCCACTTTGTTTTCTCTATTTTGGAGATGGTTCACAAAATATTCTATTGGTATTCACAACTCCTAAATTACATAACTGCAAGGGTGGAATATAATAAAAATCTAATTTAACAAAACTTCCGTCAATGAGTAGTAAAAATAAGTTCCCAACATCAACCACAACATCAAAGGAAAACACTTACGACATAATGTTGCACTTGTCAACATTTCCCATTAGTAAGATGACCTGGTCCGAAGGACCGAGGTGAGCTTGTGCCATACTGTGGCGTCCATCGTCCGTCTGGTTGTCATCTATCAACGATTTCTTCAAACAACTTCTTCTTTATAACCGCTTATTGGAATTCAACCACATTTGACTGGAAGCATCCCTAGATGGTAGGGATTCAAAACTGGTGCTGAGGGGTGGGCCAATAAGAGGTCATTTGGCCATATTGATGTAAGCAACTTCTTCTCTGGACCGAAGATGTCCCTGCAGGTAGGGCATAAGAATTGTACCTGCTGCCCCAATTGCATGATCGTAAGAGGTGACTTAATATGGGATCTTATCTTTTCTCTTCTTTCTAGACAACTTTCTTCTTCCTAATGTCTCCCTTGACAATGCCTCACTTTTGGCCTTTAGTTGAGCGTTCGCCCACGGGTGCTGTGAGAAAGGCTTTGGGTTCTGTCCCCTGGCCGAGGCATACCAAAGTCTATAAAAATGGCAGCAATTTAGGAGTGGGACGACTGGTTCGCCCGTTGTCAGTATAATGTGACCGGGTGGGGTGTCCTGCTGGGTGTCTTCGGCAGTATGTTTCAGTGAGATAGCACTATAAAGTCGGCATCAGTTCTGCGCTATCACAAGGAGACGAGACAAACACGAACATATCGCTGCCTCCCAAAACACACAAGCATACACTTCACGCATGCATCATACACACAGGGGAGGCCGTCCTTAAATGACCATAGCTGTTGATAGGACGTTAAACGATGCCAAACCAAACCAAACTCTGTACCTTAGAGAAGGATATCATCCATTTTTGGTTTGGATTGAAAATTGTACAAATAGAGGAGGGGTTGCCCCTCTATGGAATGAGGGATGGGGCCAAAAAAGGGTCATTTTGCCATATTGCTTTAAGCAACTTCTTCTCTGAAACTAAGAGTAGGACATCATTCATTTTTTGTCGGAAGCATTCTTAGGTGGCTAGGATTCAAAATCTAACAAATGGAGGGGCGGGTCCAAAAAGGGGTAATTTGGCTTTATGGAAAGTGACTTCCTTCTCTTGAACTAAGAGATGAAAATCAACAATATTTGGTAGAAAGCATTCTCAGGTGGTGGGGATACAAAATTGTACAAATACAACGGGCTGAGGAGTTGGGCCAAAAAGGGTACTTTTGCCATATTTCTATAAATGTTTTCTTCTCAGGACCTAATGGATGCTTGTCTATCATATTTAGTTGGATGCATGATCTGTTAATATCAGCTGGTGGGACTTCAAATTTTACCAGTTGAAGGGCTGACCCCCCAGGGGGCGGAGGCGGTTGGCCAAAAAGGGTACTTGTCAATCATATTTGGTTGGATGTATTATCAGATGGGACTTCATTTTTTTCCAGTTGAAAGGATAACTCCCCAGGGGGTTGAGGGGCAGGGCCAAAAACATTTTTTCCAGTTGAAGGGATAACTCCCCAGGGGGTTGAGGGGCAGGGCCAAAAAGAGTTTCTAACTTGGAAATGATAAAGATCCCCGCCCTACACCATATACAATATATCTGAGTATAAAGAGACAAAATCTTCCAGAATGGCTCCAGGGTCTGGCCCCGGCCATGGAGAATAAGTTGCTTGGTCATAGCTTTTAAACGGCTGAGATCTCCACTACAACTATATATACACAATTGCTAGGCACAAAGCGACAGATACAATAATGACATTAGAATTGACTCTGGGGTCCTGCCACACCTGTAGGGACTTGTTCCTTGGTCATAACTTTCAAACTGTTGAGATCCCTACCCTGAAGCCATACATACAATTGCTGGGCATAAAAAGACAAACACAGTCATAACAATGCATTAGTTTGGTTTGTTTGTGTTTTACGTCCTTTTAACAGCTATGATCATTTAAGGACATGCATGGCATTATAATTAACCCTGGGGTCTGGCCACACCCTCAAGGATGTATTCCCTAGGTCATAACATTGAAACGTTTGAGATCCCCACCCTATTATAATATAAAATTGCTGACCATAATGATTTGAATACACATGCTGGCAGGATTGGACCAAGGGAATGATCCTATTTGCCATACTACTTAAAATAAATTAAAAAAAAATAAAAAATAAAATAAAAAAAGTTTCAAAAAATAGAAATAGTGAGGAAGTCGGGAAACTGCAAAAAAAAAAGTTTTTAACAATGGCCTTATTGGGATGATATTTCCTGTACTGAAATGATATGCTGTAATCACCAGCTTCACATTGTATATGCAGAGTTATGGCCCTTTGTTCACCCTATGTCACTTTTTCTTGGGCTTTTCTCATATACTTTCCCCTACATTTGCCATCTTTTGCATGCAGGTATGTTTTGAATGGAAGAGTAAAACATACTAGGCCTTGTCCCCAACCATTTACAGAGTTATAGCCTTTAGCCTTGTCCCCAACCATTTACAGAGTGAGAGCCTTTAGCCTTGTCCCCAACCATTGACAGAGTTATAGCCTTTTTAGCCTTGTCCCCAACCATTGACAGAGTTATAGCCTTTTTAGCCTTGTCCCCAACCATTGACAGAGTTATAGCCTTTTTAGCCTTGTCCCCAACCATTGACAGAGTTATAGCCTTTCTAGCCTTGTCCCCAACCATTGACAGAGTTATAGCCTTTCTAGCCTTGTCCCCAACCATTGACAGAGTTATAGCCTTTTTAGCCTTGTCCACAACCATTGACAGAGTTATAGCCTTTAGCCTTGTCCCCAACCAGTTACAGAGTTATAGCCTTTAGCCTTGTCCCCGAATATTGATAGAGTTATAGCCTTTAGCCTTGTCCCCGACCCTTGCCAGAGTTATAGCCTTTAGCCTTGTCCCCAACCAGTTACAGAGTTATAGCCTTTAGCCTTGTCCCCAACCAGTTACAGAGTTATAGCCTTTAGCCTTGTCCCCGTCCATTTACAGAGTTATAGCCTTTAGCCTTGTCCCTAACCATTTACAGAGTTATAGCCTTTAGCCTTGTCCCTAACCATTTACAGAGTTATAGCCTTTAGCCTTGTCCCTAACCATTTACAGAGTTATAGCCTTTAGCCTTGTCCCTAACCATTTACAGAGTTATAGCCTTTAGCCTTGTCCCCGTCCATTTACAGAGTTATAGCCTTTAGCCTTGTCCCTAACCATTTACAGAGTTATAGCCTTTAGCCTTGTCCCCGTCCATTTACAGAGTTATAGCCTTTAGCCTTGTCCCCGTCCATTTACAGAGTTATAGCCTTTAGCCTTGTCCCCGACCCTTGCCAGAGTTATAGCCTTTAGCCTTGTCCCCAACCAGTTACAGAGTTATAGCCTTTAGCCTTGTCCCCAAATATTGACAGAGTTATAGCCTTTAGCCTTGTCCCCAAATATTGACAGAGTTATAGCCTTCAGCCTTGTCCCCAACCATTTACAGAGTAATAGCCTTTAGCCTGTCCCCAACCATTTACAGAGTTATAGCCTTTGGCTTGTCCCCAACCATTTACAGAGTTATAGCCTTAAGCCTTGTCCCCGACCATTGACAGAGTTATAGCCTTTAGCCTTGTCCCCAAATATTGACAGAGTTATAGCCTTCAGCCTTGTCCCCAACCATTTACAGAGTAATAGCCTTTAGCCTGTCCCCAACCATTTACAGAGTTATAGCCTTTAGCCTTGTCCCCNTGTCCCCAACCACTTACAGAGTTATAGCCTTTAGCCTTGTCCCCGACCATTTACAGAGTTATAGCCTTTAGCCTTGTCCCCAACCATTTACAGAGTTATAGCCTTTAGCCTTGTCCCCGACCATTTACAGAGTTATAGCCTTTAGCCTTGTCCCCAACCATTTACAGAGTTATAGCCTTTAGCCTTGTCCCC